TGCACTTTCACGTTATAAGTTAATATGATTTCAGATATGGAGGGAGTGGAATAAAGAAAGACAGCAAGGCAGCTATGGGATATTAGTCTCACTTATTGTCTGCTTCGGTAGCCAGTGTGTCTGTGGTGGTGATGATTCTGAACAACTCTATTTTCACGGCCAAAGACAGATGTCAGCAGTAGTGGCCTTGTCCTGTACAGCTGTTTTACACCACCACAGGCTTGTGCTTTAAGAGGGCAGCCAGAAGCTAGTGGTGGAGACCTAAGAATAAAACTAGTGTTTCAGCACTGTTGTTTGTGATGTTGGCATGGTCTCGATTTGTGTGATGTCTCTTTAGGTTAACACTTGGGTCTAGATTTGGTCTGGCTTCTTCATGTTGGCTTTAACCAGGCCTACATTTCTATTTCTGGTCCCTGGCTTTGAAATGGAAATCTCAATACCAGAATGGCTGGCTGAACAAGTGCCTCTCTCAAGACCAGACTTCTCACTCTGTGCAGCCCTCAGCCATCACTTTATCACTCTGTGGCACTGAATAGACCCCCTTCATTCAGGATGGGTTTATGACCCTGCCTTCTCAGACCAGGGGACCAGATATGGATTTCCATCAAAATCTCTTTCAGATACTACTACCACCCCTGGTCTCTTGTGGTTCAAGTGGTCTGCCTTAAAGAGCCAGTTATAAGCCCTTGGCAAGAAGCCAATGCCTACTCTATTTCACTGCACCTTGCCATGGCCCTGCTAGTTTTGTACGTACCTGTGTGCTTGTAGGGATATTCAGTGAGAGAATGAGGCCTTAGTGGTGGATCTGAAATTCTTGACCCTCACCTGAACCTACAACATGTCACTTCCCAAAGGAAGTGGCAACGTAGCCACAGAAAGAAAGCCCATACACCTACCTACAGAAGGCCATATAGAGGGAGACCTGAACTGTTACATGCTTCAACACTGATATAAATAAATGACTGGTTGACCCTAAAGTATTAATTTTTTAAAACCTTAGCCTTTTAGATATTTTGCTTGTTTGTTTGTTTTGTTTTCACAGCCCACTCTATTTTCTCGTACCAGCACAAACCCACTCATTGAATATATACTATAGGTCTATTTATAGCTCAACCTTATGAATGATAGAAAGCATATTGTCACTTATGTGTTGCGTCTGATTGCCAGCTCTGCTTGTAACATTGCATCATTCTAAGAGGAGGCAGCAGTCCAGGCTTTATGAATGAACCAACTCTCTGGGAGAGGCTGGGAGATGGCACTGATCCCATTGTGATGTCATTCCAGAGACAAGAAGAAGAGAGGCAGCTTTATGAGGCCTCTCATTCATTCATCTGTCTCCTTCTCTCTCTCTCTCTCTCTGTGCCCACCTCCGGTTCTCTTGTCCTGTGATGGGCTCATATTACAGGCTGGTGACTCATCCCCACCCCACCCCCTCTCAGTTGCCCCTCACCCACCCAAGATGCTCCCTTGCTATCTTTCCCTGTCCTGCCCTGCCCAGCCCTGCCTGTTCCAGCCCCATAGACTTTGGCCCCAGCTTCAAAAATCCCAATTCCACGCCCACGCTTTGGCACACAGGCAAAGGTGGTTTCTAATTTAGTTGATATGTATGTGTGTGCGCGTGTGTGTGTTTATATGTGTGTCAGTTTAACAGCCTAACGTGCTAAACAAATCCCCCATCTAAAATTGGCTTTGTACTTTCTTGCAAGGGCTGGGCAGTCAAGGTGCTCAGTCTGTCAGTGAAAATCCCCCAGGGAAATATTGCCATTGCACTCAGCAGACTGTCCATTACTCATATCGTGGCGAGAGGGGAGTGGCTAATCAATATCTTTTACTGTATATCCAGACCAAACATCAGTTTCACTTTATCAGTGATTCTTAGAACAGATGAACTTATTATTCCTTTAACTTTATTAGCAGGAGTCGGTTTACTTTCATACTTTTCACTGCAGATGCTGTTTTTACTCCGAGTGTTGTTAGAGAAATGCGAATGCCATAATGTTGCCTGTGATTTATACCCACTCCTACATTTTGTGAGCTAAGTGGCTGGGACTCATTTTGCAGACCCACCCACAGACCCACACTGCCTAATGTGGAAAGTGATGACTTGTGGATGCTTTAACTCTCAGTACATACTGACCATTCTGTATCTAATGGGACTCGCAGGCATTGAAATCCTATCAGGACCTCATCATTTACTAGAGATTGTCTAGATCCAAGCTTGCCTATCGCTAATGGATGTGCATTGTACATTAGCTCTAACTTCATATGGATCATTCACCATGGAGACTGCTCTATTATCATTGCACTTTTAGGTCTTCTTTTTGCCTTTCAATGTTTCTCTAACCTCAGTTTTCTTTAACAATTTCAGTCAAATGTTTTGTTGAGCATACAGTTGCACTGTCACCTAGTAGTTTAACACATGCATTGTGCCTTGAAATGCTGTAAGATAGTGAACAAAAATCCTACTTCAAAGTCATTTTAAAAGGGGCATACGTAATTCAAAATTGTAAACAAAAGAAATCATACAAATTGCAGTTCACATTTTAATATATTTGTCTGTAATCGTGGTTTGCACATTTCTCTTAGAGTGCCTAATGGTAGTTCTCATGCAAGATGGTGTTGAGTGTCTTTGATGGAGGATTTAGTGCTAAAGCAGGTTCAAGTCTATGTGGGCATGTACAGGCTGGGCTCAGGTTGATAAAAGCAATGGGGAGGGAGGGTTGTAAACTGTTCAAAAGTGCAGTCTCGCTCCACTCAATTCAGCTTAAATAAAATGCCACATTTCTCCTTTGCCTTTACATCAAAGCCCAAACTGTCTAAGCCTCGGTCCCATCTCATTTTCCAGCCCTTTGCAACATGTACATTTGTGCACTACTAAAACTACTTAAAAGAGAAATGAACTTAGTACAGACCTAGACAGCCTTGCCACCAGGGGCACCTTTTACACAGTGACAGCTCACTCAGGTCTTATTTTCAGCGTGAAAATGCACAGTTTATTTTGATGTGTGAGCTGTGTCTGACAATAGCTTAACTGAGGCCATATCTGAGACTGTGAAACAGTGTTTATTCTCTGCTCTTCTGCCTTGCTTTTGCATCTGACTAGAATGAACAGCTCTGCTTGTTCACCAGTGTATCAGAGAGCGATATATTATTACAAGTCTTAATTGAATCACACGAAGAAGCAAAGAACTCTTGTGTGTCCTCTGTCTTGAGTCTGTTGCGATGTTTCTTTCTTCAAAGAGAAAAAATAAAGGAAAAAGACAACCAAAACAGAAAAAAACCCTGGGAGACCTAATTTTACAGACAGCCAGACAGACATTGGTTGCATGTGTGAAGGAGGGACAGCTGCTGTGCATTCCAGACAAGGTCGAGATGTCATCGAGTGGTGAAAACAAGCATGAACTGTATGTTGTTCTGGTAGATAAAACCACCAGCCAGAACATCTGGGTTCAACAAATAGTGGTTCTATGACCATTTTCCTCATTACTCGCCTGACTTCAAGCCAAGCTTTTTGTGATCAGATTTCTTAAAGATTTTAATTGGTATGCAGTTGAGACAGATACGAAGGATGAGTTAGAGAAAGACGTGACGCAAATATCGAAGCCTGACCGAGCCCTACATTTTGTGCGTACCTTTAGATGAAGCCCCAGGATTCCCTGTTGTGGTTTGTTGAAGTTTTTCCTCATGCACTTAACCCCCCAGGTTGATCAGACAAGATAGTGTTATTATGTCATACTGCAGACTCTAACAGATTGTGATACATGAATATGTTGGCCTTTGTTGTATATATGAGTGCGGGTGCTTTGCAGATTGAATGATAAAGATGTGCCAGTTAATTGGAACTCCATAGGGGTTTTTGTGTCTATTTAAAATCATGTGTTGAGTCTTGGCCCGATTAGTTTTTAGCATTCTATTCTAGTGTTAGTGGCCTCAGGGTCTTTCCCCTTCTCCCCTCATCTTCTCCTCTACTTTGTATCTTTATCCCACTATTCTGCAGTCTGGTCAATCTAATTAGATGAGTGCGAGTCATCAGACACTGTTTAAAGCCATCAAAGGGAGCTGTGTTCCACACTGGGTGCCCATTGGCTGTGAGTAGAGAATAGTAAGCCTAGTGTGTCACTGAGACCCTTGAGACAGCCCACCCTCAACTCTCCTAACCACCCGCCAGCAGTCACACTGACATCATCACCTCATCCCTCGACCCTTGACCTCTCAGAATGTTTGACCCCATGCTTGTCCAGCGACAGTAGGCTTACTGTGTAGGACCAGCATGGTAGGAGGGCTAGCAGGGGTCATGGTGTCACTGATGGGCACCAGGCGCTACTCTCTTAGCCAGGGTGTGTGACAGAAGAAAAGTTAGTAACTGTAGTATTTGCAAATAAATATGTATGTTTGTTTAATGTAAGATGAGACTCTGTCTGGAATGTGTAAAAATCTGTTTAAAAGCACCTGCATTAACATTTTTTGTACAATCACAACTCACCATGCACAAAATTATGTTTAAAAAAACAGCATTATTTCCACTACCTGCTACTGAGCCCACTGAAACACGTGCACATGTACACATTGTGTGCAAAGTAGTGCCCATGCAGTGTTACAAATCAGGTTTAATGGTGTGACAACTCTTGTTTAAGTAGATTGGATCTGATATGGAGATGGTGTCTGTCTAGAGGGGATGACATTGTTGAGCCGTGTTACTGATCTTGGACGGTTACAACTCTACTGATTTTGTTTGTACTGTATATGTGTGTCCGTGAACATCTAGCTGAACCACATTCACAAGTCCCTCTTTTCTGCAGTCACTCTGTGTAAATTATATTTTCCATTCAGTAACTTTAATTGGCATGAAATGCAATACAGGATGCATTGCTGTAGCCTGAATCATCAGTAATAATTAGTACCGTGCATATTATTAGCATATCACTAATCCCAAATGAAATAGATAGACTTTGCTTTAAATATTGTCCTAATCAGTTTTCTTTGTAATTTGTGATTGGCAGATCTGGAGTGTGGAGATGTCCCCCTGCTAACTCCAGGAAGTAAAGAGATGATGTCCCAGGCTCTGAAGGCCACCTTCAGTGGCTTCACAAAGGAACAGCAGCGGCTGGGTATTCCCAAAGGTAAGACTGCTGGTGTTCTCAGTAGTCACTGTAAACATTTTCACAGGGGAAACGGAATCTTATCTGTAAAGCGTGAGTCCTTAAGCCCACATTAACATGTCACATGTCAGGTACACACATTCATTAGATACTTTTTCATCATTGCCTGCTTTATATCATTCAAGAAAGGCATCTCTTAGAGGCGTTCACTGAATGCAAGGAGAGACACAGTTATTCCAAATATAACCTTATGAGGCAGAGAGTAAAATAATGAGTTAGTGCCCTAAATTGAGCCTGACCGCACAGCCTCTCCATGCTGTGGAAACAGCAGGACTTTCAGTAACTGTTTATGTAATTGTACCGTATCTGCAAATGATGATTTGGGTTTGTCATTGCTGTTTTCATCTACTGCTGCCTCCTTGTTTGCTGTTGATTGACGTATTATTGGTAGATATATAAATATCACAAAGATGGTGTGGAGGTTGGTGGTATAACTATACATCTGAGTTATCTCACAGCAAATACATTGTGGTTCCTTGTGTCATTACCAGGAAAGTTCAAATTTAGTCTGACTTTTCATATCAGCCATAAGTCAAGATGACGTTTGAATGAATGTGTACGTGTGGGATATGCACCTCATCAACTAGAGCATGAACACACCCACTACACTTAATTTACTTGTAACAAAAAAGGGTATAACAGTAAATATAATAGTCATTTTTATCCTCTTCAGATCCCAGACAGTGGACAGAAAATCATGTGGCTGAATGGCTAACGTGGACAGTGAATGAGTTCAGTCTGAAGAATGTTGACTTTGATAAATTCTGCATGAATGGAGCCAACCTGTGTGCGATGGGGAAGGAGCGATTCTTAGACTTAGCACCTGACTTTGTGGGTGACATCCTTTGGGAACATTTAGAAATGCTTCAGAAAGGTAAGGACACATTAGTCTGAGGATAAAGAGATTGTTTGACATTTTTTGTGCTTTGGAAGATATTTTTTAGCAGAGACTAGAGGCTAAGAGACTTTCATCTCACATAATGTATGTGAGGAAAAAGAAAAATCCCACCACACAGGATGATATCACTGCTAGCACCAATTTAGGACTGTGTTGGCATTTGCTATTGAAAGAGGAGCCAAACAGGAAGAGAGTGTTTAGCTCAGGTCATTAATTTTTGATAATGCTGGATGCAGTTACATGATACATGAAATCAATGACGAGGTCACTGACGCTTGTTCTCTATCTATTTTTCATGAAGAGGATACAAAGCATTACCCCATCAACGGACTGACCTCCAATTTCCAGGAGTCCCGTTATACCTCAGACTACTTTGTCAGTAAGTACTCATCACGCTTTTTGTCAGTCACTCTGGTTAACAGCATGCGATACACAACTGTAATATGAACATAAATGCAAAAAGAGGAGTGATTAGCATTGTGAAAAAGATTTAGTGTTGTAAAAACCACAGCAGTTGAGCACAAGAGGGCTAATGACTCCACTCTCCACTGATCTTCCTCCTCTATTTTGCTCCTTGCTTTCCGTCTCTGCTCTGTATCCATACTTGTTTTCCTTGGTATCTCCAGGCTACGGAGTTGAGCATGCTCAGTGTGTCCCTCCTTCTGAATACTCAGAACCTGGCTTCATTACAGAGTCATTCCAGACACTTCATCCCATCAGCTCAGAGGAACTGCTGACGCTCAAATACGAGAGTGAATACCCTGCAGTCATCTTACGGGACACACCCCTCAACCCACTGCAGGGGGACTACTTTTCTGTCAAGCAAGAGGTCGTGTCACCTGACAACATGTGTGTGGGACGCCTCAGTAGAGGTGAGGGGTCATGTATTAGTTATGAGGATCAGATTTTGAAATTTAAGCACAAAATGTGATTTGTCTTGAGAAGCACGCAGGGAAGAATATGCTGCATTTATATTGTGCTCATAAGTTTGTTTGGATTGAGTGCTTAATCAATATGTTCCTATGTGCGTGCATGTGAATGTGTGGGTGCAGCTAAATGTTACGTGTCTCTGCGGGTCTCTGTGTGCATGTTATTGTGCTGAAGCTACCAGAATCTTGTCAAGCCACATTACTGTGCATGTATTAGAAGAGAAGAAAAGCAGGCCCTCCGGTTGGTTTGTGGTTCGAGCAGAGCTGCCTGATACACTCTAGACTGGGTTGGGGAAAAAAAGAAAACTCTATTGTTTTTGTCAAAGTGATACACAAACCACAGCCACAGAGTGTTCTCTTCTTGCCGCCTGTCCTTTATGTAAAACAGTTCAAGTGGTGTAACCTTCAAGATTTTTTCTTCTCGTTTCTGTTTCTGGCTTCTTTTCCTCATCTCACCCTTAAGGTTCTGGGTAAAGAGATAGAGGTGTCATCCTCTGTTAGCAAGTGTGGGGTTTTCTCATGAAGCAGTTTGCTTTTCTGAACGCACAGGCTTGTTTTCTTTTCCAGTGATAGTTTACAGATGAATTAGCAGCATGGTTTACGTTTATAGCCTTAAAGCTAGAATTCTTCGCCCACAAACTTCCATCTGTATAAATGAATAGCATGTGACATGTACACTATGCAAGCCTCCTTCCAGTGCTGTAAGCATTTGCCTGCAAGGTACAAGGTCCAGTCCTCATACATCACACATACTAAGCTGTTGAGTGTTGCATGTGCTCTTCTAATGTGGGAAAGTATTTTATAGCACAACTGATATCCACATGTGGCTTCCATTTCAGCAGTGGAGGATGCTGCATTATCTGTCATTTGTTAATGGCTCACTGTTGAAAAACTCCTTTTATCTTTCCCAAGGCCAAAAATAGCAGTGCAATTTGTGTGATGGCCATGCATTTAAAATCAAATTCAAATTGTGGCTATATAAGTGAGATGAGGTGTAAAATGGAAGAGATGTGGCACCACACAGAACAATAGCTTAGTGAGAAAGAACACAGTTTACTCTTTAGGTGTAGTTTATACCACTTTTATAAATATTGCTCCTTTGTCAAAGGCTACAGGAAATTTGTAACAATTTACATTCTTCTGCACTGAAATATCACCTTGTAAATAGCAACACTTTCGCTCTCAGTAATTTCTTTTAGAAGAAAAGCATAGCAAACAACTATACATAACTCAATCACAAGCTTTATTATTAGTCTTTTATGTGATATGCTTTCAAATTTAGACTTTACAGTTTGTTGCACTGTAACACCTTTGCTTCTGTCTTTGTCTTGTGCTTCCTCTCCCAGGTAAACTTGGTGGCCAGGACTCCTTTGAGAGCATTGAGAGCTTTGAGAGCTGTGACCGACTGACCCAGTCATGGAGCAGCCAGTCTTCATTCAGCAGCCTGCAGAGGGTACCTTCATATGACAGCTTTGACTCCGAAGACTACCCCTCTGCCTTGCACGGCCAGAAGCCCAAGGGCACCTTCAAGGACTATGTGAGGGAGCGCTCAGACCTCAGCAAGGATAAGCCCGTCATCCCAGCTGCGGCTCTGGCAGGATACACAGGTAAGATACCAAGAGTCGTACCTCAAAAAGTGCTACAGCCATAAACCTTTTTTCACAGCAGACATTTTTAAAAAGTCATAGCAGGAAAAGCACAAGGTAACCAACAACGTTACTCACAGCTCTGTTCCGTTTAGGTGTGCTTTTTAAGTCAAACTGCATGCATAATCCCAGGGCCCTGATATTTGTGTATGTAAAAGGAAATTCATCCATTATTCAAAGTTAAGAATGTAACAATATTGGTGTTTATGATTATTCCTGGTAGTGTGTGCAGAGCGCAAGTCAACTTAAAATATTCAGTTTCTTTTTAGCTTCAGAAGATCCTGTTCCTCGACATTTACTTTTATTTAAAAGGTCAACATGTATCGCAGGTTGGGATTTTCACATCTCATCTGTCAATACTGTGGGCATCACAAACAACAACTGTTTTCATCTTCATTTTACTGGGGTGACAGCGGAAATAAATAAATGCTAGATATCTCAAAATGTTGGGTGAAAAACTGAACCACATTCACAAGCCTGGGACATCATCTCTTTACTTCCTGGAGTTAGCAGGGGGACATCTCCACACTCCAGATCTGCCAATCACAAATTACAAAGAAAACTGATTAGGACAATATTTAAAGCAAAGTCTATCTATTTCATTTGGGATTAGTGATATGCTAATAATATGCACGGTACTAATTATTACTGATGATTCAGGCTACAGCAATGCATCCTGTATTGCATTTCATGCCAAAAACAAGGTGCAAAATTTAGTTCTACATTGAATGAAATTTACAGCAGCTGTAACACACTTCTTGATGCTCTGCCAACACCTCGAGTGTGGAGATGCTTTAATGCGTGGCTTTTAGAGAGAGAGAGAGAGAAAACTTTTACGCAGGCAGCCCGAGTCATGCACATTATAGAAAACAAAAGAAAAACCTTCTTCTTCTCTCTTGCTACCTCTCACACACATTTGTTCTGTCTTCAGTTCTCATCTACCTCCTTCTTATCTGCAGCCCACATCTCAACCTATTTTTTCAGGTCGTCCTAGCAACGCTGGTGAAACATAGAAATTATGCCTGCCTCTGCACATAAAGCCTGAGTAAAATAATCTGTTCATCTCATGAAGCATCTCTGTATTCGTATGCGCACAAAGAACCGGTGTATGTGAGTGCTCCAAGTTCAATGAGATGACGAAGATATCTGCAACCTCCTCTAAAGCAAATGCACTATTTTAGCATCTGTCATGGCTTTCAGTTTTAAAATAATCCATGAAAAAAAAAGTTGGTGCTATTTTAATATTTTACCAAACTGTGTATGTTAACAGTGAGCCAGGAACACTGCTTGTATAAGTATACAAACCAATCAACCTGGTATATCTAATTTAAAGACTTTTCTTGTAATATTAACACATGAAGGACATGTTTTCCAAATCATGTGTTGCATAGGAAAATGTATATACAATCTTTGTAGAGGGTTTAGATAAAGTGAAGCCTTTACAACCTGAATTGCCATTTAAAGTCGATTGTAAAGAGAGTTGGACAGTTACTGTGTAGACAGTGAATCACCTCTTAACGCCAAACTGTCTGGGGCTTTTTCAGCCTTGTTTAAATTGTAGCCATAAGGCAGTGAGACTGCCAACATTGGAAAAGGGGAAATCCAGGCAAATTTCTCAACCTCACCAGCAATGCATACATCAGATCTCAACAGACTATCCCAAAGCTGGTATGCAAGAGTGAGTGTAGGACAAATGAGTCCAAAGAGCTCATATGTGAAGGCCTGCTGAGTGTTTCCAGGCTAATATATAGTAATGTATTCTCACAGAAGAGAATATGCTTCCTCTGAGCTTCTGAGGTTTTATATGAGAAAAAAGGACAGAAAAAAAAATCATGCTAAACACCCAAATTTCCCTGAAAGTGAAAATGTCAAGCAGCCAGGCCACTCCACTCCTACTGTAGATGCTATTAAGACCAGTCTTTGGAAAGTGTAGCCCTTGAAAGATGAAAGCTTTTTTTTCTATACATGAATGTGCATGCCCATGTGCAGGTGTGGATGAATAAAGAAACAGAAGAAGAAAGAGATAGAAAAAAGAGGGAAAGGAAAAGAAAATTAAATAGATAGATAGATAGATTGATTGATTGATAGCAATAGGCGTTGTGCATTTCCAAACTGATGTTTTTGACAGCTTGCCCTGCTTGACTTCCTGTCCCAGTCACAGGGTGACAGGTGACACTTGTGAGGACAGGGAGCCTGATACGACTGCACAGAGATAAGTGAAGCTTCACTTATCACCTTCATGGTTTCCTGTGACAATTTGCCTTTTACACCTCTGTCTACAGTAAACTTAGGTTGCCCTACAACATGGCCTGTGGCATAATACTTTACATTTAGAAAAACAAACAAACAAAAAAACATTTATGAATCCTTAGTTGTAGACCTGGTTATACTTTCTTGCTAAGGCTGCATCGGTTCTTGACTCATTTAATGTGCCGTGAGTCAGATCCTTAACTCTGCTATGAATGCAATTCTCTACTCCACGCACCCCTTTTGCCACACTGCATGCTTTTTTCAATGAAGCCCATTGTGCATGGAGACTTCTAACATTTTTGGAAACTTTTTTTCTTTTTGTCTAAGGGTCGCCTACATTCTGGCATGAGAGCATAGGGAGCTGGTAAACGGGCACTACAATGTGGACTTGGTTGTTACAGTAGCAGATCTTTGAAATGCGAATCAAAGCTCTCTATCTGAAAGAGACCCAGTGTTGCACCTCTACTTATTTTCCAAAGTCGAGATGGCTAGATCTCTAGTCCTAGCAAGAGTAAAGAGGTCTCTGAAACACAATTTCAAGTGTTCAGCCCACACGTCTGTTTCCCTAAAGCTTTTGTTTGTGTTGTGGAAGGGTACATTTGCTTTTCTGAGCTACTCCAGAGTGGTGACTTGTTTAGCTTCAGCTTTGCTGAAGCGTGTGCTGCATAGGCAGGTGTTCAAGATGCGAGTGTCAAAAGTGGGTGGGTAAGTGTATATGCTGAAAAACCACAAGATCAAAGAACACTGCAGTAAATCTAGTTCAGTCAAACCAACCTTTTTTGGTTGTCTTTATTCTGCCTTCCCTCCTTTTTCCATGAGATGTAATAAACTGTTTTAATGGCACTAAAGTTAGTTTCACCAGATTAATATATTACTCTTCTATTACTCATATTACTGTTCTATTATTCATGAAAAATGCATTCCATTATAATAATGTAGATGACTTAGCAACCACTCTCTGTCATACAGACACAGTCTGTATTCAAATCTCTGAGATGTGCTGCTGGAAGTAGCCCCTCTTATTTTAAACCAGTGATTTCATCAGTATGGAACTCATAGAGACAGACTCTAGATTCACATACTGCATGGGGCAACTGGCAGACAAGGGAATACATGATGAATGTGACTGTTGTATTTAGGAGGGCATTTGGTTCCACTGCTGTACTCCAGTCTGACCCAGATTAGAAGGTTTAGTACTGTATGTCCCTCTTCAGACATACAGTAAGTGAATATAGGAGCATATATTTAACACTGTCATATATAGTCACAGCCAAAAATATTGGCACCCCTGCACTTCTGTCAGATAACGCACAACTTTACCCAGAAAATTGTTGCAATATTTGCTCCTTTAATTTGTAATGAAACTCACCTGTAACAACCAACAGGTGCTGGCAATATAGAAATCACATTTGCAAACAGTTAAAATGGAGAAACGTTGACTCAACCTTTGTGTCCTGTGGACCACACTGAGCACAGAGAAAAGAAAGAAGAGCAAAGATTGTCTGAGGGTTTGAGAAGCACAATAGTGGAAAAGCCTGGACAGTCTCAAGGCTACAAGTCCAGAGATCTGGCTGTTTCTGTGTCCACTGTGCACAACATTGTCCAGAAGTTTACAGCCCACTGTAGCTAATCTCCCTGGACATGGACAAAAGAGAAGAGTAGACGATAGACTGAAATGAAGGATGAATAGTTGATAAAGAAACTCGATCAACTTCCAAACAAATTCAAGCTGACCTGCAGGCACAGGGTGCAACAGTGTCAGCTCGCACTATCTGTCACTACCTGAATGACAAGGGACGCTCTGGTAGGAGACCCAGGGGGCCCCCACTGCTGACACAAAAACATAAAAAAAAGCCAGACTGGAATTTGCCAAAACCTACCCGAGGAAGCCATAGTCCTTCTGGGAGAATGTCCTGTGGACATATGGGACTAAAATAGAGCTTTTTGGTCGAGCACATCATTCTGCTGTTTTCAGAAAATGGAATGAGGCCTTCAAAGAAAATAACACGGTCCCTACAGTCAAACATGGTGGAGGTTCACTGATGTTTTGGGATTGCTTTGCTGCTTCAGGCACTGGATGCTTTGACTGTGTATATGGCATCATGAAATCTGAAGACTACCAACGAACTTTGGGGCGCAATACAGCGCCAAGTGTCAGAAAGTTGGGTCTCTGTCAGAGGTCATGGGTCTTACAGCAGGACAGTGACCCAAGGTATATTTCAAAAAGCACCAGAAATGGTTCCAGAGAAAGAGCTGGAGAGTTCTAAAGTGGTCAGCAATGAGTCCAATGTTACAATAGAAACAAAAAAACTAAACATGAGAATACCAAAGAGTTTATGATGGCAACAATTTTCTGGGAGAAGTGGTGCCTTATCTGACAGAAATGCAGGGCTGCCAATATTTTTGGCCATGACTGTATAGCAGAAGTGCACACTGTAAGGAAGACATGGATTGTACTTCAAGTATTTTTTTTCCTCTTTGGAGCATTTTAACATTGTAGAGATTTTGCATAGTTTAATGGAATGTGTCTCACTTTTGTAAACCGTTAAACTGGAAATCCTCCTCATCCCAAATATGTTTTACCACTTGGGTTTTATTTAGCATCAACATGCCATGCAGTAGATGCAACGTACTGTATTATTATATATTACTACCCTATCACACCCTCACTATTACACCATCAACCCCACGGACAGCTGTATGTCAGTATGAGCAGCTCTTGAATGCACATCTTTTGTCCTTCCTCCATCTGTTCTGCAGGTAGTGGCCCCATCCAGCTGTGGCAGTTTCTTCTGGAGCTGCTCACCGATAAGTCTTGTCAGTCCTTCATCAGCTGGACAGGCGACGGCTGGGAGTTCAAGCTTTCTGACCCAGATGAGGTGAGAGGTCATGAACCCACCGGTCACTGGCATACATGCTGGGAGGTCCTAAGTAGTTAGCCATATGAACAAGATGTCTTCTTTCCTCCAAAACAACATTTGCATGCCTTGTTTGGCTCCGTCAGTATGTTTTTGGAATTGTTAACCTTGTAGGTTTCACATCAATAGTGATTCATTTCAAACTTTATGACATACCCTATATTGACCTACTTATCTTATTCCCTGCATTTTTTTTTAGGTTGCTCGGAGGTGGGGCAAAAGGAAAAACAAGCCCAAGATGAACTATGAGAAGCTGAGCCGTGGCTTACGCTATTACTATGACAAGAATATCATCCACAAGACATCTGGGAAACGCTATGTCTACCGCTTTGTCTGTGACTTAAAAAGCCTGCTGGGATACACGCCTGAGGAGCTGCATGCAATGTTGGACGTAAAGCCAGATACGGACGAGTGAAAGCAGGGATGAAAAAGAAGGTGTAGACATAAGTTAACGAGCCACACAGACTGGGGCTCAAAAAGTGGTCTTATCTGTTTGATAGAGTCTGCAAACCGTTTTTTTTGGGGGGACCAGAATATTTTTAACGACCAAATGTCAACTTCAACCTCTTGTCTCTCAGACCATGTTTTCAAAACAAAGGCACAAGCCAAAAGCCTGTATTTGTATCCTATTACATTTCAGATATGTGTGTGTGTATGTGTGTTTGAGGGCGTGTATATGTGATATGTACCGGTATTATATAGCAGCTCCAGTCAGATGGAGTGCTATCAGGTAGATTTCAGGTTCCATTCTGCCTAAGTAGCACAGTGAGGAGACAAGAGAAATAGTGAGAGAACAAGAAAACGGTTGCCAAAATGTAAAAAAGTGAAGAAGGTATAATGTCATATTTACAGTACATACATTTTCACTGTCTCAGTTAGCTGTTTGGCAAGGATTGAGTTTTCAGCTTGGACCAAAAAAGTGTTGTTTTTAATTTGTTGTTTAAGCAGCTTATGCCAATATTGTATTATTGACATTGAGAACACCCAGTGTAAACCTATCAGGTATATTTTGGAAAGACTATTTTTCTTAGATTTTCAGTGAAGGTTTTACAGTGGAACCAAACCTTAGATGCAGTTAGAAGTTTAACGATTCTGTTCTCTAGCAGCCTTTACCTAAAACATGCTGATTGGTTATCAGACAACACTATAGACACTGGCCCTGTGCCTTGTGGGATGTGAGGGCCTGATGGGATTACTCATACCAAGAGTGTCTGATAGACAACTGAAAGCAGCCGTTGCTTTTGAAACTGCCGCTTTCACCTTTACTTATGTATTTGTCACCTTGAAAGAGACACATATTGTGACTGAAACTTATGCGTTTTTGCATATACCAGTATTAGCAAACTGTAGACAATCCACGTGGGGAAATTCAGGTGTCTTTGGCAAGAAGAGTTGTTCAATGTGCAGATTAGATGCATAGAATGTCAGTTCACTGTTCATATTAGTGTTACTTTAGGAGTGTTTGAATAGTCTTCTTTCTGTCTGTACAATGTTACACGTTACGTAATCGATTGATTTTACCAAGAGAACGAAGGTCAGATTGTTATTTGTTTTGTTATGCAGTACATTTTAGCAACAAGGCACTGGCTGCAGCATAGTTAGAAGGTACAATGTAAGAAAAAGGAACAGGCAATAGAAAAAAAGTTGGTTAGAGAGAATTAGAAGCTGTATGGGGCTGAAAGGAATCTGTAGATCTTGCAGGTAAGGAATAAGATAGAGAATGGTTCTCAAAAATGAAAAAGGTTGGCACTGCTGTGAGGTTTGTATTACATGGGTTGTGTACTTTGTCACTGCCATCGAGGTTGGATGCAGCTTTCAGCTACAAGTTCAGTGCGAATAAGCACATATAGGACAAGTGGCAGATATTTGCATTTAATTTGTAAGTTTGCATGTACCTATCTATGAGCTAATGAATGCTCATTACATAGAGAGTGACTCGTGTATGATTCCACCCATATGTTTGCAGTTTGCTCAGACTACATGCATAGAGATTAATTTGTTACAGCTGAGCAAATTGGCACCAAATTCCTCTCAACAGTGGGAACTGTGGCTGTACATTGGCCTTATGGGAAATGCCAAAGTAAAATATCATCTTAGAATACAGTGCTATTGTTTACAGTGGCTGAATGTTGCCCATATGGATGAAAATAACTTTTGTGATGTCTGTTTGTACAGATTGTGTTTCATAATGCTTTATTGAGATCCAGATTACCCAAATAAGCGGGAGACAAAGGAGAAATAATAACCAAAACCCATGTGAGGTCTTTGGCCGCAGTGCTTTGGGTATCATCCACGATAATGGAAGACAGGGACCAGAAAGCTCTCACATTTTTGTCAAGTGCTGACTTTTCTTTTATCTCTTTTAATAAGTTGAAAAGCACACAGCTTTAGGACAAAGAGAAACTTCTTCACTGGTTTCCCACTGAGTGCAGAAAAGAGATGCTGTATTTGTTCATGATGTTTAATTGGTTATTCGACACAACTTACTCACAAACCCTCACCCAATTTCACACACAGAAAGTTAAGCAAAGTATTAAGCTGTACTGTACTTTCATTCTTTACTGCACATTGGCATTGAGGTCTCAAAACACTGTTTTTTGTTTTGTGTTTTTCTGATATCTTGTTTTATGTTAAAGATCTTCACAGATTTTTAAACATATTTGTAATGGTTGCCAATGTTCTGAAAGGTTTTCTTTTATTCCCGACACAAGGTCATGATGTTAGTATGGTTGATGTCATAAGATCAGTGTGCTAGAAGAAAACATAAATGTTAATATTTTGAAAATTATTTTGTCAGGAAAGTAAACTGTTGTTAACCGTCAGAGATTACCACAGTCCTTATGTATTAATGAGCCTTAGTCAGGCGTATGTATACACACCAATAGCTTGTGGCATACAGTATGCATATCTCAGAATGAATTCAGAAGGAAAAACTGCTTAGTTTTGAATATTGTTTGTTTGGTTTTCTTTTTTGTATATTTTATAGTGTCTCTGTATTTTTGTTATGAGATAATTTTTATTGTATTTAGGTCACAAACAGTTGAATATTTTTCAATAATTTATATTTTATAAAAGACAAGAGTTGCAGACAGCTGGTGCTTTCATGAGAATTTAAAGGTAGCACAGGATAAAATAATGTAGCGTTTTTTCTGTTTTTTGTTTATTTTTTTGTTTGTTTTTTTTATTCTTTTTTATAAAGTAAATAAACCTTTTTTAAACTGTAGCCTCTCTTTCTAAAATGTACTTATTGTACTTCAAAATGTTATAAAATATATGTGAACAAAGATTTCATAATTGTCTGTGGTGTTACTGCTTTGATTCATGTACATGCATTATTACACTATACAGTATAACAATGACATGTATTTGTATGATTACAGTACTATGTACTTATACTATTATTACTACTATAATGCTATGTACTAATAATAGTCTTAAACTATTCTAACACTGGACTAATATTTAAATAATTTGAACATTCTAGTAAATTTTACTGTAGATTGAAGCATGAAAAATAGATTTAGCAATAGTAGTACAAATTAGTTAAACAAATCAGTCTTTTGTTCATATCAACATACTCTTGCATTGAAATATACATGGGCCATAGTGTGTCCCAGTTTTAATGAGTGTGTCCCATCCACACTGATGAAGTGACGTCGAAACAGAACCAGCACACTGGGGCCCATTCATTTGTTTGTTACCCTGGGCTCATATAAATTCCTCTGTAGATAGAAAACATACAGGACCATGGCCTCCTGCCCCACACTGCACAGCTGTTTGGCCCCGCCACAACTGTGTACGCCAAAATACAGATCCAGTGGATCAGGCTGTTTTTAGTTTTAGAAAATGGCATGTGAGTGTAGAAACAAAACACACAGTCTAGAAAACATCTTATATGTAGGCACAGTTTTATAAATGTATTGTTAATGTGGGACACATTTACATACATTGCAAGTGAAATGTTTTACAATGTACAAAGCAATATAAGAATGACAATAATATTGATAAGACAGTCAAGAAAGACTGAATGAGACACTCGGCATATAAACCACATGAAACAGAATACACATACATGACTGATACTTCACGCAACCCGAAAGCAAATACAATAGAGCTGTCTTCTGTCAAAACCAAACGCTCGTTCTGCTCTTGGGCCTATTGGTGGTGTTCCTGGCACAGAGAAGCCTGAGGTTACCCAGGTGGTTCTTCTCCTGTTCCACCTCCCTCGCTCTGACTGGGCTGGTGAGCCAAACCAGACATGATTGCTAGGCAGGTTCTTAAATACTTGCCCCAGATAGTACACATCCCAACAGACATGGAACAAAATCCAAACCATTATGAAAACTCTCATACCTAATTATTCCACGTCCAAACCCAGACACAAAGCTGACTAACATTTACATACCTTACCAGATTTTTTCTCCTCCTTTGTGCCTCATTCAAAGAAACCTTCCATGGATTCAAAGCAGTGTTTAAAAGTGAAACACAGCAGAGAGAGACATAAAGAGAAGAGGAAGTCTATGCAAAAAGTGAGAACTGTCATACCTGGCAAACGCAGAAAGATGTCGAATGATTTCTGCCTCTCTTGACAAAAAGTATCACCTCCTGCTGTCAGCCGCTAACAGCTCTCTTGACACTGGAGTGCAGCTCATTTTTCAGATTTCAAATCTAAATATTTATCTGAGGTATTTTACCAAGCTACAGCTGTCTAACGTATGTAGTCTTAACATGACTAAGAAAGACAGAGAGGCAATTAAATAATGAATTAGTGCAGCAATGAAGGTGGAAAACATTGGTCAGATAGGAACACAGTTGCAATAAAATCCTGAACCTCTAAAAGAAATAAATAGCTTTTTAAATAAAGGTATTTTAGGGACACTTATGGTATTCAAATCTATCATTTAAGGAAACTATATTACAAGTTGAGTATCATTACGGTTTTGTCAGGTTAAACTATATTACAAGTTGAGTATCATTACTGTAAAGGTTTTGTCAGGTTATACAGTAACTTCACTTTTGATGCCTTAATGGTCTACAGTTTTTAGATTTAAGACATAATGGGCCTTCTGCTATGACACGGATGAAACTCAACTGTATCTATCATTAACGCCCCTAAATTAACATCCCCGTCATTCAAAGAAAATCCATGTGACGCACAAGTGGTCAAGTGAGTGGTTCCATTACGCAGTGAAGTTGTGAAATATGACCACTGTGTCCCTGAGGTCCCTGATGGCCCAACTTAAGACACTGTTGCCTGGGATATATGCATGTCCTACTGTCCTTCATGGCTGGGCTGATTTGGGCCAGCATGGGCTCCAGTGATGTCCAGGGACTAACATAAAGAGAGTTAAATCCACAGTGTCTTCTCAAATGTGACCCTTCTCATGGATTCTGAAGAGAGTTTGTTTGGTTTATTGCCATAACTCTATGTTTTTGGACACTTTGTGCACTAGGCTTAGATGAATGTGTCAAGGGTAATATAGTTTGTGACTTCAAAGATTCACTGTGTGGGCAAGTGAAATTCAAGTACGTTATTTGTGCAAGGCAACTTATGCCACATACTATACTAAACTCTAAGACCATGAACCACTGGACATTGTCCAATAAATACTGAAGTTAAATCATATTTTTTTCAGAACATTCTGATGATTGACACAGATTTTATTGCTCTATTTTTATTTTTATTCTCATTGTTATTTTCTATTCCTGTTGCTTTACAACACATTGAGAGCTTCTGTGTATGTTCAAACATACTTGGTCATTAAAGATGATTCTGATTTTGATTCTGATTAACGTGGATGAGACTAAAGAACAACAGCTCAAAAATAATGATACATCTGTAATCACATCTGGTGACATGTTAACACAAAACCATGCACTCTATCCCTGAAAAAATATATATATACTATCAGTCACAAGGTTTGGAAAGTGTCGTGCCTTTTGACTGGTAGATGATATTGGAAATGTTGGAAATTGGAAGCTTTTAGAGGATGCTTGCTCTCTACCTCTCTAACACCAGTCTTGACTTTTGCACCTTATCTTCTGTTACTTTGGCAAATATCAGTTGCTGCAGTGGACTGAGAATGTGAAGTCTGTGCTCACTCACTAGCAACCTTCCTTTTCTAGACCCCAAAACCACAAGCCTTGAGAAAAAAACCTTTTTTGTATTCAAGGAAAGGCAAAAGATGTGAATGTTCTATTATTTTCAATAGCATAATTAATATTCTTATTAAACAGAATACAAATGAAAGATAATGGAGGCTATTTGACAAACCAATAATGACTGTCAGAGATAAAAGAGTGTCTTGCTTAGCTAAAGCACCTATGGTCTCATGCTTTGTCACTCACTTTAAGCCTCTTCTGCTCTTCCCCTTTTCCTTCCTCTCATTCATTGCATTGTTGTGTATAAGATGTGTTGAACCACATGTCTTGGCAGGTGTGGTGACTGTATTATCCAGGCTTATGAAGGGCAGATCCAGGGCATCCCCTGCTTTGGCTGGTAATTTGCATTTTTATTGCTATTGTCGTATCCTCAGTTAATACACCATTGACTCCCAGAGCCACCCTTGGACCCATCGGCATCACCTTGCTATCCCACCTGAAATGAGAGTGCCTGCCGGGCCCCACATCCACACTGGCTGTAGCTCAGGTACCAGCCGACCTGGCATTCTGGGACGGAAATGGAGTGTCCTCTCATGTTAATGTGGACTTTCCATTAGGAAAGATGATTGATTTGTGCTGTGCTGTTGTTGCGAATAGGCAATAGACTGACACAATAAAAGAGTGAGATGGGTCTTTGTGTGCAGGTGAGGCCATATGTGAAGTAGAGTGTGACTGAATCAGATTGCTGATGATGCGAGCAGAGGAGAGGGGGCTTGGAGACAGAGACAAAGACAGATGAAAGATGGAATGGAATGTTGAATATTGGAGAGTTGAAGGTTACAGGGTGAAAAGAAGTAGAGGGTTTAGAGGTGCAGAGGGACAGGGAGATGAGTGGTGGGAAAAGGCAAACGTGTGGAAGCTCTCAGCTGCATTCACTGTAAAGGTTGTCTCCATAGTAGATGAAAGCGGACAGCAGAGAAGAGAGAGGTCGTTAAGTCAGCTTTCTTTTCTTACTAAATATTATTCTTAGGTTTACTTCAGTGAGGTAACTGAATTACTATTTGAATGTCATTTTATTTGAAATTTATGAGCCTATATGCAAACAAGGGGCTATAAGAAACATTGTTATATTGTTTGTACAATCACTAAGAGAGAGAATGAGAGGGAGAGAGAGTCCAGCTGGATTAGAACAGGTTTTGGTTACTGTCCAGTTCACTTTTCTTTTACTGTGAGTCGACTGGGATTCAGCAACTTTCCCAGGACATCTGCTCTCAACGCCCACGTTGAAGTCTCCATCCAATAGGAGTGCTTCTTTCACCCCTCAGACACAGCCGTTGCAGTGCTGTGATTGGCTGCTCAGGCCAGGGCCCAGAAAGGGAAGGCTGAGCCCTGAGAATTTTCCGAAAAGTTTTCTTCTCTGTCTTGGTTTTTGCCAACATCTGTTTCCATTCAATGTTAGTGAAAAGTCCACTTCTATTTCTCCCTGCTGTCTGGGTTACACACATATGCGCGTGCGTGCAGACACGCACGCTCCAGGCAACCTTTTTTCCTGAAGCTTTCTTGTAACTGTCAGTTTTTCTTCCAGCTGTTAGAGAGGTGTATTAGAAAGGAGTTGATCAAAATTCCAAATGATCATATAGCTGAATCAACTGATTCAACAAGAACTGAACGTTTTCACCTTCATGAAAGGGGGGATGTATTGTAAGACTGTTGTATTAGATTGCATTAGAGCTACATGTACCAAATAAATGCGTGTACCTAAACTATTAAAGACAAAAGCATTTTCACATGCACACAATCAAACACACATTGAACATCCCTGTAACTGCTGCTCTCAGCACTTCTTCCCAACATTTTCATGAGAAAAGCACAAAGGGTCAGCTTCTTTGACCACAAGCATCAGTTTCTGCTATTCTTTCTCTCTGACTCTACTTCTGTCTTTCATTCACAGCTCAGCCCTCCTGTGTGGTCATTCTTCTAGCTCCCATTGCATGACTCTTAACTACAACAAGTCAACAAACTGCAGAAAACCCTGCTTCTTATAGAAGGTACTTTCCACAGTTATTCAGAAGTAAGCATGGTGATTCACTGTAGCCAAAGGG